TCGTTTGGCAAACTCTAATCTGGCCTTCCTGTGTTTGAGGCTCACCAATGGTTTCCATCTTGTGGTGAACCCTCTGTATTCACTCTGGTGAAGTCTTCTCTTGATTGGTGACTTTGACACACATACACCTACCTCCTGGAGAGTGTTCTTGATCTGGCCAACTGTTGTGAAGGGTGTTTTCTTCACCAGGGAAAGAATTCTTCGCTCATCCACCACAGTTGTTTTCCGTGGTCTTCCGGGTCTTTTGGTGTTGCTGAGCTCACCGGTGCGTTCCTTCTTTTTAAGAATGTTCCAAACAGTTGTTTTGGCCACGCCTAATGTTTTTGCTATCTCTCTGATGGGTTTGTTTTGTTTTTTCAGCCTAATGATGGCTTCACTGATAGTGACAGCTCTTTGGATCTCATCTTGAGAGGTGACAGCAACAGATTCCAAATGCAAATAGCACACTTGAAATGAACTCTGGACCTTTTATCTGCTCATTGTAATTGGGATAATGAGGGAATAACACACACCTGGCCATGGAACAGCTGAGAAGCCAATTGTCCCATTACTTTTGGTCCCTTAACGAGTGGGAGGCACATATGCAAACTGTTGTAATTCCTACACCGTTCACCTGATTTAGATGTAAATACCCTCAAATTAAAGCTGACAGTCTGCAGTTAAAGCACATCTTGTTCGTTTCATTTCAAATCCATTGTGGTGTATAGAGCCACAAATGTTAGAATTGTGTCCATGTCCCAATATTTATGGACCTGACTGTAGATACAACAGACATTAGCACTTAATCTTTCAGGTGCGCCTACGTTCTCGTGGATCGCACGTTCCTGAACTGGGCACACAACTCATAAGGAACACATCCTCCTGTACTGTTCTTTCCCAACATTCCCCATCCCCCGACATAAGGGCGTACAAGTATATAGGTTAGTAATCCATATACCTATACCGGGTTCTGTAATACTCTCTATGGATTGGCTGCTCTGCTATCTCCCATTGACACAAAGATATACCTGACCTCGATCTGTTATAATTTCATCCCATAGCCGTCTGGGAAGCGGGATGTACATATGGTGTCCGTGTTCGGACCGTCATCTCTATCCGCATGTATATCGGCCTTAACTTCCCTAATAAAATGTATTTTTGTTTTCTGCGCATTATATCGGCCCGGATGTTATTTTCATAAATTCCTCATTGAATGTGTCAGAGGCGACAGAAAACGACTTCATAGCGCCGAACAAAAGTCGTCCCGATTCCCAAAACAGCATCGAAGTCCAGAGATAATATTCCACAGAATATAAAACCAGGAAAGTCATAGAAGAGGATACAAAGCGAAACATTCACCACCACAATAAATACTGTGATACATTCACCCACAATAAATACAAAGAGATACATTCACCCACAATAAATACAAAGTGATACATTCACCCACAATAAATACAAAGTGATACATTCACCCACAATAAATACAGTGATACATTCACCCACAATAAATACTGTGATACATTCACCCACAATAAATACAAAGTGATACATTCACCCACAATAAATACTGTGATACATTCACCCACAATAAATACAAAGCGATACATTCACCCACAATAAATACAAAGAGATACATTCACCCACAATAAATACAAAGTGATACATTCACCCACAATAAATACAAAGTGATACATTCACCCACAATAAATACAAAACAAAGCGATACATTCACCCACAATAAATACAAAGAGATACATTCACCCAAAATAAATACAAAGAGATACATTCACCCACAATAAATACAAAGTGAAACATTCACCCACAATAAATACTGTGATACATTCACCCAGAATAAGTACAAAGTGATACATTCACCCACAATAAATACAAAGAGATACATTCACCCACAATAAATACAAAGTGAAACATTCACCCACAATAAATACTGTGATACATTCACCCACAATAAATACAAAGTGATACATTCACCCACAATAAATACAAAGTGAAACATTCACCCACAATAAATACTGTGATACATTCACCCACAATAAATACAAAGCGATACATTCACCCAAATAAATACTGTGATACATTCACCCACACTAAATACAAAGAGCTACATTCACCCAAAATAATAATAAAGCGATACATTCACCCACAATAAATACAAAGAGATACATTCACCCACAATAAATACAAAGAGATACATTCACCCACACTAAATACAAAGTGATACATTCACCCACAATAAATACAAAGAGATACATTCACCCACAATAAATATAAAGTGATACATTCACCCACAATAAATATAAAGCGATACATTCACCCACGCGGTATAAATACAAGGTAAGGGATAAAATGCCGGAACATATCAATCATCAGATACTCGGCGTTATTTCATCACCACCGGAGATTCACACAAAGCGATGATTCATCCGGACTGGTCAGTGTGAAAGTGAAAGCGCGTCATGTGATGATGTCATGTGATGATGTCATGTGATCGCTCAGGAGCCAATAAAATGAAGGCTGGCAACGTGATGACGTCACCCAGAGCCAATGGGGTGCACTTTGGGGGTTAAAATGAAGAGCCAATTAAATGAGCGATTAGCTTTTGTCGCAATAATTCATCTTCAGTCCCGAGATTCCCGGCATCACCTCGTTCTTCCACTAGGTGTGCTCACTCCCCTGGCCGGTATCATTCCACCCGCTTCCTCTGAGCCCAGGTTGTCCTGAACTCCACCTCATCCTGTGACTGGGAGGGAAAGGAGAAGCAGCCGAGTGATGATGTAAAGCTCATCTCCCAGCTTGTCCTTCTGTCACCGCGTCTCGGGATCTGTCCAGGAGGGTTCAGAAATCGCAACATTGTGACTGGTCAGTAGGGGGCCCCATGAGATGCCCCTGGTACCTTTTTCATAAGCTTTTCTGAGTTTTGGGCAAGGACACAGGGGCCCCATGATCTCCTATTGCCCGGGGGCCCCATGAGTTGTCTGTCCGCCTCTGCCAGTGAATGAAATCTTCAGGAATCGCAGCGATGTGACTGGTCAGCAAGCCTTCAGATATCACACCCGAAATCGCAGCATTGCGACCGCTGTGAGTGAAGTCTTCAGGAATCGCAGCGATGCGACTGATGAGAGATTTGCGGTGTTTTTTGCCCCCAGATCTCTCCGTAAAGAGAACCCGTCATCCTCATTTCTATCACTTTCCTTGTATTGGGAATAAAAGTGTAAAAAGAAAAAAGAAAATAAATAAGAACATTACCGCCCCCCCCTCCCCCCCCTCGGCGCTCGCACACAGAATCGCACACAGAATCGCACAATACGGCGTTGGCAGCACACACATGACGTATCGCTGCGAACGTTACAGCGAGAGCGATAATTCCTGGCGCCAGACCTCCTCCGTAACTCTAAACCAGTCACCTGGAAACAATTTTTAAAGCGTCGCCCGCAGAGATTTTTTGCGTACCGTCGTTTGTCGCCCTTCCACGAGCGTGCGCCATTTTACCGCGATAGGCGTCTGTTTACTCGCCGTCACATCCTCTCTCATATTATACAAATACAAAATCGGGGGAATGTGCGTTTCTTGTGGTTTTTTTTAATTAAATGCAGTTTTTCTCCCAAAAAAACTGCGTTTAAAAAAACCCGCGGCGCAAAATACCGCGGGACATTCCAAAATGGCAGCGATCGCCGCTTCTCCGCGAAAACAACAATATAGAATATTTGGGGGTTAGAAGTCATTTTTGTAAACCGAAAGTGGCAGAAAACGTTCGGTGTGAGGACTTTCCCGCATCACACCGCGCCGCCCGATCGATGATAGGACACACTGGCCGCTTGCTGCGTTGTGGAGCGTCGCCACGTCATCGATCGCTGATAGGTCACACTGGCCGCTTGCTACATCATGGAGTGTCGCCGCGTCGCCGATCGCTGATAGGTCACACTGGCCGCTTGCTGCGTTGTGGAGCGTCGCCACGCCATCGATTGCTGATAGGTCACACTGGCCGCTTGCTGCGTCGCTGCGCCGGCGATCGCTGATAGGACACACTGGCCGCTTGCTGCGTTGTGGAGCGTCGCCACGTCATCGATCGCTGATAGGTCACACTGGCCGCTTGCTGCGTCGTGGAGCGTCGCCACGTCATCGATCGCTGATAGGACACACTGGCCGCTTGCTGCGTTGTGGAGCGTCGCCACGTCATCGATTGCTGATAGGTCACACTGGCCGCTTGCTGCGTCGCTGCGCCGGCGATCGCTGATAGGACACACTGGCCGCTTGCTGCGTCGTTGTGGAGCGTCGCCACGTCATCGATCGCTGATAGGTCACACTGGCCGCTTGCTACATCATGGAGTGTCGCCGCGTCGCCGATCGCTGATAGGTCACACTGGCCGCTTGCTGCGTTGTGGAGCGTCGCCACGTCATCGATTGCTGATAGGTCACACTGGCCGCTTGCTGCGTCGCTGCGCCGGCGATCGCTGATAGGACACACTGGCCGCTTGCTGCGTCGTGGAGCGTCGCCACGTCATCGATCGCTGATAGGTCACACTGGCCGCTTGCTGCGTTGTGGAGCGTCGCCACGTCATCGATCGCTGATAGGTCACACACTGGCCGCTTGCTGCGTTGTGGAGTGTCGCCACGTCATCGATCGCTGAAAGGTCACACTGGCCGCTTGCTGCGTCGTGGAGTGTCACCATGCTGGCAATCGCTGATAGGTTACACTGGCCGCTTGCTGCGTCGTGGAGCGTGTCGCCACATCATCAATTGCTAATAGGACACACTGGCTGCTTGCTGCGTCGTGGAGCGTCGCTGCGCCGGCGATCGCTGATAGGACACACTGGCCACTTGCTGCGTCGTGGAGTCACTTTTTAGACCCGGAGTGACTTTGACGCCCTTCGTAGGAAAATGCTGCAGTAATGATGTGTCATGTGACCAGCAGCTGGCAAAGAATCCCCCAGTACTGAGGGTGAGAGGGGCCCCACCACCCTCCTCCCCTCTGGGCCCCTGAGACCACGCCATCCCAGCCTCCGCCTTACCCTCCTGCTGTACGGTGGGCTTCCCTCGGCTCAGGAAGGTTTTGGGAAGCAGCAGAGACACGCAGAGCACCAGGCCGGAGAACAGGGCCACCTTCTGGATGGTGGACAGAGCCATGGTGTCCTGGTGTCCTAGAGCCCAGCACCGACGGGAGCCATGCTCAGCATCCACAGCAGATCCACCAATCACAGAGCTCCATGCGTCTCCTGACCAACACAGGCCCAGCTCTGCCTATTGGTCCAGCAGCTGTCATCATTGGCAGATGTCATTGTCCTCAGCCCCGCCCCCCCCCGGTGTCATGTGACCCTCCATCTGCTACAATGTGTCGCTGTTCTGTGCTCGGTGCTGAAAATGTAACAATGTGTTCACGAGAGCAGAGCATGCTGGGAGTTGTAGTTCTATGACCTGCGTGATGGGAGACGCTGAACGCAGGCTGACGGTTCGACGTTCAATGTTCAGGTGTAAGTCGGGATCCCCATGTCGAGTATTTTGCAAATTTATGATGTTTTCAGGAAATATAGAAGAGGATTAAAAATAAATAGATAAAATACATAAATAAATTAAAGAATATAAATAAACAACAAAAATGTAAAGAAATAAACAAACAAATAAACCAAATATTAAATAAAGAAACGTAAACATAAATTAATTAATAAACAAAAATAAACAAAATAAATAAATAAAAAAAAAAAATAAATAAAATAATATATAAATAAACACCACTTGCTGCGTCGTGGAGTGTCGCCGCACCACCGATCGCTGATAGGACACACTGGCCGCTTGCTGCGTCGTGGAGTGTCGCCGCACCACCGATCGCTGATAGGACACACTGGCCGCTTGCTGCGTCGTGGAGTGTCGCCGCACCACCGATCGTTGATAGGACACACTGGCCGCTTGCTGCGTCGTGGAGTGTCGCCGCACCACCGATCGCTGATAGGTCACACTGGCCGCTTGCTTCGTCGTGGAGTGTCGCCGCGCCGCCGATCGCTGATAGGTCACACTGGCCGCTTGCTGCGTCGTGGAGTGTCGCCGTGCCGCCGATCGCTGATAGGTCACTCTGGCCGCTTGCTGCGTCATGGAGTGTCGCCGTGCCGCCGATCGCTGATAGGACACACTGGCCGCTTGCTGCATCGTGAGTGTCGCCCGCGCCGCCGATCGTTGATAGGACACACTGGCCGCTTGCTGCGTCGTGGAGTGTAACCGCACCGCCGATCGTTGATAGGACACACTGGCCGCTTGCTGCGTCGTGGAGCATCGCCGCACCGTGGATCGCTGGTAGGTCACACTGGCTGCTTGCTGCATCGTGGAGTGTCACCGCGCCGCCGATCGCTGATAGGTCACACTGGCCGCTTGCTGCATCGTGAGTGTCGCCCGCGCCGCCGATCGCTGATAGGACACACTGGCCGCTTGCTGCATCGTGAGTGTCGCCCGCGCCGCCGATCGCTGATAGGACACACTGGCCGCTTGCTGCATCGTGAGTGTCGCCCGCCGCCGCCGATCGTTGATAGGACACACTGGCCGCTTGCTGCGTCGTGGAGTGTAACCGCACCGCCGATCACTGATAGGACACACAACAACATAAAAGAAAAAAAAAAAAAAAATTTAATAAAATAATAAACAAAAAAAAATAAAAAGAAATATATAAATAAACAACAAAGTAAAGAATAAATAAACAAGCAAAATAAATACACGAATATATATATATTTATTTTTTGTCCATTCATGTCTTCTTTTATTTTTTTTTATTCCCTTTTTTGTTTATTTTTTAAATCTATTTATTTTTTATTTTTTTATTTATTTATTTATTTCCATTTTTTGTGTATTTATTTTGCTTGTTTGTTTATTCTTTTACTTTGTTGTTTATTTATATATTCTTTTATTTATTTTTGTTTATTTATTTAATGTTTTAATAAAATAAATGAACAAAAAAAATAAATAAATAAATATATATATATATATAACACACACACAAGCAAACAAAAAAAAGAATATATAAAAAAACAAACAAATAAAAGAATAAAAATATAAATAAACAAAACAAAAAAAAAATAAAATAAATAAACAAAAATAAATAAAAGAATATATAAATAAACAACAAAGTAAAAGAATAAATAAACAAGCAAAATAAATACACAAAATATATATATAATATATATATATATATATATATATATATATTTTTTTTTTTTTTTTTTTTTGTCCATTTGTGTCTTCTTTTATTTTTTTATTCCCTTTTTTTGTTTATTTTTTAAATCTATTTATTTATTTGCATTTTTTTTTTGTGTATTTATTTTGCTTGTTCATTTATTCTTTTACTTTTTTGTTTATTTATATATTCTTTTATTTTTGTTTATTTATTTAATGTTTTAATAAAATGAATGAAAAAAAAAAAAAAAAATAAATATATATATATATATATATACACAAGCAAAAAAAAAAAGAATATATAAACAAATACAAGAATAAAAATATACATAAACAAAACAATAAAATAAATAAACAAAAAGCAAAGAATACAAAACAAATAAATAAATAAACAAAAAAATATTAAAAGTATAAATAAATTAATTAAAAAAAAGAAAAAAAAGTGTCAGCTTTGCGTCAGATTTTGAGTTTTGCGTCTGCTGGCTGCTTTTTCAGGCGACACCAAAGAAAAGTTTTTTTTCTAACTGCTCAGTTTGATACATTTGTTGCGCATTTTTGCCGTGTGTTAAAGCGCGTGTTTGCGTTGCATCAAAGAAGCTCCTGTGCTTGTTTTGGCAATGAGATGTTTTTGCGAGTTTCTTGGCGCGTTCGATGTCCTCGGTTGGGCGACATCAGATATTATCGACACCGCATTGCACAACGCACGTTTATCACCAAGCCAGGAACGTTCCAGGAATGGGAACTCGCGATTTCTGCGCACATTCCCTGAACACGCAGATATGAGCGCATTCGTGGGCAGCTCTACATATTTCTGATTGGATGGGTCAACTTTGACAGAAAATCGACCCTCATACTGCAAACCTGTAGGCTGCCCATACACCATCCAATCTGATTGTACGATACACTTTAGATTTACCAAAAATATGTAACAGGACAATTCTAGTCATCCAATCAGGCGCCTCCTTCCTACAGAGCTGATGTTGGACCTTAGAATGATTGTATGGTGTATGGAGTACATTTCATGGTACTATGATCACACCAGGGGTGGACTGACCATATGGAAACTCAGGCACTGCCCGAGGGCCCGGGGTCAGTAGGGGGCCCCATGAGATGCCCCTGGTACCTTTTTCATAGGCTTTTTTGAGTTTGGGCAAGGACACAGGGGCCCCATGATCCCCTATTGCCTGGGGGCCCCATGAGATGTCAGTCCGCCCCTGGATCACACTGAACGATCGATGTCCAATTTGACAAAACAGTTGAATCGTCCAGCGAGCGATGAACAACAGATGGTGACGGGTTCAACTGACCAAAGTCAATCGGTTGTAGCATAAGAAATTGATCATAGAGGAACCAGTGCAAAGACCTGCAGTGATCGGACTGTACAGTGTAACTTTGTAGAAGGAGGAGGAGGCATTTCCTCAGTCTCCCCTCCCCCCAGTGATCAGACTGTACATTGTAACTTTTTAGAAGGAGGAGGAGGCGTTTCCTTAGTCTCCCCTCCCCCAGTGATCAGACTGTACATTGTACCTTTGTAGAAGGAGGAGTCATTTCCTCAGTCTCCTGAGCCGTAGATGATGCCTGAACAAAGATGGAGCTGGATAGGAGATCAGATGGCGGCATTGTCAGGGGCAGTCCTGTGATCTCTGGGAAGGAAGGGTGTCACTCGGAGAGAAGGGTGTCACTGGGAGGGGAGGGTGTCACTGGGAAGGAAGGGTGTCACTGGGAGGGGAGGGTGTCACTGGGAGGGAATGGTGTCACTGGGAAGGGTGTCACTGGGGGGGAGGGTGTCACTGGGAGGGGAGGATGTCACTGGGAGGGGAGAATGTCACTGGGAGGGAAGGGAGTCACGGGGAGGGAAGGGTGTCACTGCGAGGGTGTCACTGGGAGGGAAGGGTGTCACTGGGAGCGGAGGGTGTCACAGGAAGGGGAGGGTGTCACTGGGAGGGAAGGGTGTCACGGGGAGGGAAGGACGTCACTGGGAGAGGAGAATGTCACTGGAAGGGAAGGGTGTCACGGGGAAGGGTGTCACTGGGAGGGAAGGGTGTCACTGGGAGGGGAGGGTGTCACTGGGAGGGAAGGGTGTCACTGGGAGGGGAGGGTGTCACTCGGAGGGGAGGGTGTCACTGAAAGGGAATGGTGTCACTGGGAGGGGGGGTGTCACTGGGAGGGGAGGGTGTCACTGGGAGGGTGTCACTGACATCACTCACCATGCTGCGTCCTTTATCTGATGACAGGTCCACTTGAACAAAGAGAGAGGTGCAGTTCCCCGAAGCTGCCAGCAGATGTCCTCGGAGTACATTGTTTATGACACATCGTGTATTTCTTGTAATTCCATCTTTGGACAGTGGGGGTCGCCCGGCTCCGCCCATCCAGTGCAAAAACCTAAAGAAACCTTCACAGCGCCTCCATGAAGAGCTGAATTCTGCGTTCGGTCGTTTGTACTCCTGCGCAGCCGGCGGACGCATTCTGTGCAGGAGGGGACTGACAACTCATGGGGCCCCCGGGCAATAGGGGATCATGGGGCCACTGTGTCCTTGGCCAAACAAAAAAGCCTATGAAAAAGGTACCAGGGGCATCTCATGGGGCCCCCTACTGACCCCAGGCCCTCTGGCAGTGCCCGAGTTTCCAAATGGTCAGTCTGCCCCTGATTCTGTGACACCCCTGGGCTCTGACTCCATGCAGATTCCTCCTACAGTCCTGAGTCTGAAGCTTTCCACAGCTGCCTACTCTGCAGTCCATATGGAACAGGAGACGCGTGCTCCGCCCGCCGCGCTGCGCACAATTGCGCTGTTGCCTCCCACATGACAGATTTGATTCACCGCCACTTTCTTATATTTCTGATGTCCAGAAGCTGCAATCTCCTTACGGTGAGACTCGGCGTCTGCGCGGGGATGACGTCGTGGCTGTACGTGATAATGAGATTGATATCTGGGGATCGATTTGTGGACAGATATTGCTGCATGCGGCTGTCC